CCTGCAGTTCTTTGGATGTTGTTGTGGGGTCTTTTGTGACCTCGTGGATGAGTCATCGCTGTGCTCTTGGGGTAATTTTGGTCGACCGGCCACTCCTGGGAAGGTTCTCCACTGTTCCATGTTTTTGCCATTTGTGAATAATGGCTCTCACTGTGGTTCGCTGGAGTCCCAAAGCTTTAGAAATGGCTTTATAACCTTTTCCAGACTGATAGATCTCAATTACTTTCTTTCTCATTTATTTCTGAATTTCTTTGGATCTTGGCATGATGTCTAGCACATGCATATATATATATATATATATATATATATATATATATATATGCATGTATAAAGACTCGTACATAGTGTGTAAGAAAAATATTGCATTTTGTTTAATTATTAAATTAAAAAGGACTACTTTACTTTCAAGCCACTATCAGAGTAAATGTTAGATGTATAAACATAGTATTAAGACACTTTCAATTTAATTCAAATCTATTTGTAAACCACTTCACAATAAATCCTTCCAAACCCAACTTTAAAAAAAATGTATTGTTAAAAATAACTGTTAAACACACTACCGTTCTGTAAGACTTATTTGTAAGATTTATTTTTTTAAATATATTAAATTTTTTGCACCATTATACACATCTTTAATATAATTTTTGATTTAATTTAATCATTTTTAAAAATTTAATGCTTCCTTGCTGAATAAAAGTTTACCAAAAAAAATAAAAACGAAACCTAACTGACCTCAAAGTTTTGAACGTTAGCGTATCTTAAGTTGGCACGTTAACTTTAATAGTCCAGAAAAATGTTGTCAAATATTTTTATTTTCTCTCAAATTATCCATAGACCGCCTAGCACCCGCTTGCGAGCCGCTGAACCTAGTTTGAAAACTGTGTCTCTGATTTTAAGTTTGAAATGCGAATGATATTTGAGGTGAAAGGTGGCTTTTGTTTTTAGGCTATCGATGAGCAACAACACATTAGCATGTGCAGTCTCACTCAGGCACACAGAAGTCAGCAGCACAATGGCCATCTGAGTGGATCCGCTCCTGCCTGCAGGCAGATTGGCTCTCTGTGTTAGCTCTGGCAATCCATCATTACAGCTCAAGCTAACCCTGTTGCTCCTGTCCGATTCTCTGTACTACCCCGGACTACCGCAACTCATCTGACAGATAAACTTACAGGGTGTTGACTGGTAATGCGACAGTTCCTCAAAGTAGACCGATCGAGTCAATGGAAAAAAAAGAAAAAAAGTGGTGTCATAATATTGACCTTAAAATATGAGCCCCTGGTGTCACCAAACAGAATTCATGCAGGTTCCCTGAACACTTCCCCACCTTCCATTGGTTGGCCCAACAGGAAGTCCCACCTCAAACTCACAGCATTGGTTGAGCCAGTGTTACTGTGTGCATCTAGTCGAACAAGTTCAAACTCAGGTGAATGGAAATGTTTTGCTAGATTGTTTTATTGTAGCGTCAGCTCATTCAATACAATAGTGATGATTCCTGAAAAAAATTACTGATTTGACAGATAAACTTACAGGGTGTTGACTGGTAATGCGACAGTTCCTCAAAGTAGACCGATCGAGTCAATGGAAAAAAAAAAAAAAGTGGTGTCATAATATTGACCTTAAAATATGAGCCCCTGGTGTCACCAAACAGAATTCATGCAGGTTCCCTGAACACTTCCCCACCTTCCATTGGTTGGCCCAACAGGAAGTCCCACCTCAAACTCACAGCATTGGTTGAGCCAGTGTTACTGTGTGCATCTAGTCGAACAAGTTCAAACTCAAGTGAATGGCAATGTTTTGCTAGATTGTTTTATTGTAGCGTCAGCTCATTCAATACAATAGTGATGATTCCTGAAAAAAATAACTGATTTGAATACATAATGTACAGTTCCTTAAAAGACAAGTAGTTCATTCATTCCTGTAAGTCATTCATTTGTCTTTTCGGAAGATTTGCGGGGCCACTTATAAAGTTGCTGGCCATTGTTGCAGTCTATACAGCTCTATTACAGGACACCAGGCTGACCCCACAGTAATGATCTAATTTTACAGACCTGTCTCTTTCCCCCGTCTGCACGGAGCAGGACAGGAGCTTAATGTGAATGCACTTACAACACGATTAACTCTGCATGGCCATTTCATCCAGACCCATCCATAGTAGCCCAATTAGAGTTAATGGACAATAAAAGTCTAGGCTGAGAGGGAAGAGGATGGAGGCGGACGCTTCTCACACCCTGTGGCACACATACAGCCAATGGGCTCTTTGTTGAGCCCTGGGGTGAGTGGGTCGGGCCATTGTGGCTGCTCTCCAATGGGTGAGCCATTTGAGTTCACTGGGATGGAACAAATTAGGTCAAAGTGGTGTCAGCGGGACGTACGGTATTACATGCGGAGTACTAGCGTCCTAATGAGCTAAGGAAGCAAACAGTGACCTCAATCATAAGATACAATTCATAAAGAAACCGCTCTGTTTTTAAACTTCAGGGTAAATGTGGAAACTTAAAGCTAATAGCATGCAGCAGAAATTTTCCACAGGGTTTTTGTTGTTCTTACCCACTGTATTTTTTGAAGAAGAGCTGCCAAACTACTTTTCAAAATGCTATTCTGACATATATTATGCTGACTGAATAGCAAATGCCAATGCACTGAGGCACAGTCATTTCGCTGTAAAAATGACTCAGCTATGTGGTGTTTAAGTGGCTCAGAAAGGGCACCGCAACCGACCACAGGCCAGTTTGGTTCTCACAACCTTTATCGACCTGACTGGGGACAGATGTTCTCCAGAGACGCTACATGTCTGGATGGAGCAGAGCAGCGGCTCTTTCAAATGGGGAAACCAGATTCTCTACACTTAGACGATTTATGTTTTTTCCCAATATAGGATATAATTTGTTATATATGTTGAGGGAGATTCCTAAAATGAAGATGCCATAAAAAGGAAAGACAAATTATTTGTTACAAAAAAGTAGGGCCCTATGAAATCCGTTTTATTTTTCTCAAATTCCGTTTCATTTTTTTCCAAATTCCGTTTTTTCCCCCCCGTTCGAATTTTTCTGGATTCCTTTTTTCCATTTGAATTTTTCTAGACTCTGTTTTAATAGTTAAATTAAAAAATATTAATCCACAATTAATTTAAATCATGAAATGTACACAATTTAACAGCAATTTATAAAAAAATATATAATTTTTTACATTTATTTCTTGATTTTTTCAGAAATACGGTGTTGTGTATTTACATTTTTCTGGTAAATAAATTCTAGTAAATAATTTTCCTGATAAATATTCCTTAAAAATAATGCTTTAATAATAATTGTATTATTAGTAGTAGTACTATCATTACATTAAGCAATATATTTCTGTCACAGTTTCTTCAAGTTAAACCGAACTGTTATTTTGACAGGTTGCTGTGAAAACCTTTAAGTTTCTGTTTGTATACGATATAACAGATAGTTTTTCTCAAAATAAAATGTAAAATGCTTATGAAGTGACTCTCAGAGCAGCTCTAGAGATTGTTCATGTGTTCATGTTAGGGCTGCACGATAAATCGCATGCGATATTGAACGTGGGTTTGTGCAGCTCGTCAGTGAACAACGGCTCTGAGTAGTTAATGCTGCTCAATGTGAAAGGCCGCAGGTGATGGAGATTTACCGCTGATTACAGAAGCGGCTTTACTGATAAGATGCGCGTTAAATATCGTATGCGATTTATCGTGCAGCCCTAGTTCATGTACTAATATATTGAGGTGGCAGAGGCTACACAGTAGTGTGTAGTAAACGAAACCGTGCGTCTGTGCCATTCATTCACACAGAGACACACAGAACATGCCGGATTCATATTTAAATAGTATTTTTGCGGCTTAATAATCACAGACACTAGTCCATATCGCATTTTGATTTAAGTGTACTGACCTACAGTACGTTTGTTTGATTTATTAATCCAAAATTTGGCAAATTCTTTGACATTTCACTTTATACAGTAAATTTCATTTATATGACTGGATTCTGCGATTCAGTCCACGTTTTCCACATTGCGGAAATAAAAGGTCCCTATAAAAGAAAATAGGGTCCAAAACAACACAGGACCCCAATGAATTCCACTGTGAATCCCAAAGAAAAAAAAAATGTTTATGTTTGGAATGATCACAGAATTGTCAGGTGAACTATTCTTTAAACGTCTAAACCAATGACAAATACAGATTTTCACTACACTATCTTGGCTAAAATGATTTGTTAATATTATCACAATATCTATAGAAATCCTGGGTGGGGGAGGGTGGCTGTCAAATAGTCAAACTCATCTTTGACTATTTTGTGTTTTCTCTTTTTTAGCCAATGAATCACACTCAAAAAACGAGTGAAGTGAGGCAGAGAGAGAGTAACTATAACTGTACAAAACCGTACAAAAAGGAATTACTGTTGATCAGCACTTCCTGCAGACAGGGATGTACATCACCCTGTTTTTTTTTTATGGAATCTAAAAAAACTCCCACACTGATGAGCAAACTTTTTTCACGGTTAGCCAGTGCGTCTCGCCCGTATCATCATCTCTGACATGATTTCTAACTACACACCGGGTCATTGTCTCTTTTCCACTTTAAAACAAGTGCCAACTGGCATTAAGTTGCTGTACTGTCACCTACTATGTTGAAATGTCAACAATATAGTTACAGCCACTGGATTATTTATGATATTATCATATGTGTAGTATTAACACAATATCAGTTTTTCATTTTAAAATTTAACGGTTATCATTAATATTCCGACACCTCTGACTGAATCACTTGAATTTGAGATGCTTGTTGATGAATTGGCGTCACTTGTCCATCACAAGGAAACTGTAATGGAAAAACTTCAGCAAGCAGCACTTATAATATTTGTGGTCTAGAACCAAACTATAAGACCTTTATGAAAGATAAACAAACATGAAAATGTTATTTATGTAGAGAACGAAACGGCATGAAAAAGAGGGATAAAGGAAGGAGGCAGGGAAAGTTGGCAGCCACTTACCAGCGCAGACTTGCCGACACCTCCTGATCCGAGGACTACTAACTTGTATTCACGCATTGTGCAGTGTGTCCGCTAACTACCTGAAGAAGAAACAGGAGAAAAAGATAAGTCTACATTTTGTCAGTCAGAATTTCATACAAGCAGCTAAGCTACTCAAAGGAAAATCAGTACGGTTTTATTTAGCTGACTCTCTATTAAACTTTTAACACAAAAAAGAAGTTCATGAAAAGTACACTGTAGCACTTCAATGCATAACCTGAAGCTGAGAGCCGTAGTCAATCAACCAACAAAAGGGATTTAGACCTGTGGTCGGCCCTCAAGTTCTGAGCTATCAAAAGGCCACCAGCGTGAAATTGCTATAAAGCCGAGTATCTAATCTGAACTGCACCCTCAAGACTCCTGCCCACTCATTAATTAGAATGTAAAGTTTCCTTTGACATCACAATTGTGTGTCAACTTCAGCTTTTGAGTTTATCACAACTCAAAGAGATAATCAATCATTTGACACGTAAGGGTGCGCTGCCCACGAAGGTGTTTGGTTTGAGGTCACGTAGTTGTGCATTCATGCCATTTCCTCCTTTGCAAGAAGAGAGTGGAACAAGAGCGGTGTGGTGGGGTTGACGCAGATCTCAGATAAATGACACCCACATAGACAGATGTGAACTGCTCCACACCCCGTCTCTTGGGTCATTCTGTCTCTCTCACTCTTCAGCCGTCTCGTGCAACACTTAGAGTAATAAAATGACTTACAGAGACATAGTATGTGAATGTGCAAGGGCTTGGGTCAGAAAAACACTATGTGCACAAAAGTTATGAATGCATGGTCCATGCACTGCAAGTGTGATTTGCAAAAGCTTTACGTGAACTCGTAGTGTTGTGGCGGTAACAAACCTAACTAAGACAGCCCTTCACTGGTCGACTGATAAACACTATCACATTTTCAAAACAGTCTGCCATTGGTTGACCACACAGATAACTCCACCCCAAAGCAATGCTATTTGTTTTTACTATGGTCAGGAATTTCAAACAATGTTTTGATAGCGATATCAAAACATTGTTTATTTGAAATGTGAAATTCCTGACCATAGTACAAACCAATGGCATCGCTTTGGGGTGGAGTCATCTGTGTGGCCAACCAATGGCAGACTGTTTTAAAATTTTCTTTGCAATTTTGCTTGGTGATGCTAGTGGTGCAACACACACCTCAGCTTTAAACCTGATGTGTTGTTATTCACATAGCCAGCTATTAAAGAGTTTATAACTAGTTTAAAATAGTTTGCTCCATAAGAATCTCTTCAAAGTATTCTTTGAAAACAGTTATTAAAAAGTTTTATTTAATAGTGCCACTTGAGGCAACCGTGAGAAACTGTACTTCCATTACATGATCATATATATAAATACACTGTATATATTTTAACCTATAAGCTGAAATCGAAAATAATTACATTATATACATGATTTGTATATATTTTTTTTTATGCAACACACACCTCAGCTTTAAACCTGATGTGTTGTTATTCACATAGCCAGCTATTAAAGAGTTTATAACTAGTTTAAAATAGTTTGCTCCATAAGAATCTCTTCAAAGTATTCTTTGAAAACAGTTATTAAAAAGTTTTATTTAATAGTGCCACTTGAGGCAACCGTGAGAAACTGTACTTCCATTACATGATCATATATATAAATACACTGTATATATTTTAACATATAAGCTGAAATCGAAAATAATTACATTATATACATGATTTGTATATATTTTTTTTAATCTAAAATTACCTAGTCAACCTCATTGACTGACTAGTCAGTTGTCAGATGACTAGTCAACCATCAAGACTTAATTCACATACTTGAGTCATGGATATGTGTAAAAAATTCCAAACATCTGTCCGTTTCATTTCCCTCATTCCAGCCAGGCTTGAGACCACAGAGCAATGAGTTTACAGGGGAAAACAGGAGGCCCATATCAGATCCAACATGCTGGGATTTAGTGGGCAAGACGGCTGAATCTGGAGCCAGACTGACTGTGAGACCACGCTCTGATAAAAGAGATTACCACTTACTCACATCTAATGCAATAGACACGAGGGTATCTGAGACTGAGAACTGCCCCAGCCCACTGCACTCCCTCTCAGCAACAGATCAGTGCCAGCAGCTCCGTGCTGAAGAACAAATCCTCAGCTGTCATCGAATGCTATGCTTTCCATTTACATTGGCAAAGTAAAGAGGGAATGGGAGACGGAGCAAGAGGGAGAGTAGAATTGTGTGGAAAAGATAAAATGAGTGAGAAATGTGAGGGGGACAGAATAAGACGCTCTATCAAATGGGAAAATGCTGTATAAATGGAAAACATCTTTTAAACGGACGTATCCGTGTATGTGTCAGTCGAGAATGGATTCAGCACAGAAGTGCTAAAGCAAATATAAAGGTGATTATAACCTCTGAAGATCTCATTCCTCTTCACATATGGTTCATATACACTATTAGTGACTCACAGTTGGTACCTGAAATAAGACCAACAAAGCCTAGAAATAACAAAAACAACAGCGGTTGATTGGGTCAAATTGACTATCTATTAGGAATGAGAATGTGACGTAACGCCGCGTTGAGTTCTGGGAAACTGTTTTGTTTATCCGCCATATTTGCAGGATAGCGCTGCCGTTCCGCTATGGAGTCAGCACAACTGGTACTAATCGTGACGTAAGTAGACATTGATTGGCCAAATGCGTACGAAAACGCCCTCACTCGCCATAATTTAAAACGCTGTAAGCATGTCAACTTATTTAGCAAGTATGGAGAACAGCGATAGATGGACGGACGCTGAGGTGCAGGCACTTGTAGCACTGCCAGTTGTCGTTGGCCTTATGTCCGTCTTAACAACAGTGTGAATTAGTCTCTTTTTAACAGAAACACATTTTGTCAGGGAAAAGTCTGATTAGATCTTCACATATGCACTCCACATATGCTTTTGGTTGTCAATGAAGTCCTCAGTCACCAGGGATTTACAGGCTTACATCACAGAGGCAGAGGAATCTGGGTTTGTGGGAATGAGACATCGCTGTGAAATCATCTTTATTGCAGCATTCAGGGCCATTCTGGATCATGTTCTGGATTGGAAATAGATGTGAGGGATTGAATGGGTGCACGCGCATTTCTGCAGGAGTAATTTCATTATACACCCACAATATTTTATTTAACACAAGAAGACCCAAGATAGTTTTCTTGCAGCTGCGAATATTTGATATTAACCAAAACATTTGAAGAAAATTATCCTTTATTGTGAGTCTACAAAATGTTTGTCCCCTTTTAAAGGGGACATTGGATGCCCATTTTCCACAAGTTGGTATGGTTGGTATTTAGGGTCTCTACGAAATGTCTGTTACATACTTTGGTTAAAATTCCACAATGGTCGTGTAAAACAACACCCTTTTTACCTTGTCAAAACAGCTGTTCACAGTGAACCGTTTCGGTGCATGTCTCTTTAAATGATAATGAGCTACTGCTCACCCCACACCTCTCTTCCGTGGGGAGTGTCGACACAAGACATGAATATATCTGCACATGGCTCGGAGGTGGTCTTCCTCAAATAGCTAGCTATTTATGTAGAAATCAGCTGGAAACTGAAACAGCTGGCTGGATGACACAGTTTCAGCCTCAGAGAGCCCATAACGAACTGACTGCATGTTTCTTTTCAGCTTTTCTGGGCTGGCAGACAGTGAAAATTTCGATGTCCCCTTTAACAACTGCCAGGTGATAAAAAATGCTTCACACTCCAGTAGATGGTGGTAATCTGACGTTCTTTTCTGGCATTTCTGCTACCTGCAGGACTGAACTAACATTTTTGTCCATTTGTGTGGACACTAATATGGTTATTATAGCTAACATAGTTAATATACATTATCATTCTTGGTGTGAACCGGCCTTCTCAACAGAGAATTTTCATTTTTGAGTTAACTATCCCCATAATAATTCAAATAGGGGGTCTTGATCGATTAGAATAATGTACGAGCAGATAAGAAGGGAAAAAAGGTAATGGTCTGGCATTATTTGTACGACCTTTAGCTGCTGCAATGACTTTGTTAATGAGAATTACAGCTTGAGTCATAAATTGCAAAACGTTACTCAGGACAAACAGTGGTAATACTGTGTCTCAGTGCATCACACAAACATTAATGGCTGCCGAGGCCTGTGGTCGGTGTCACAATGACTGTGGGAGTTGGAGTTGAGCAGTTTTCGATGGTCATATTGAAGTAAGATTGCGGTGCACATGACAGGGTGGATTATGACAGGAAATCGTACTTGATTTCTCAAACCACCCTCCTTTGACACACCACGCCTCTTCTGGGCTATAAAGTCAAGTGATGACAAGCTCAGCTCAAAATATCTCTGAGACTCCGAGGAAGACACAGGGTTGAAACAAATGAGTGATTTCAATCTTCTGTATGTGTGACTAAGCGGAAGACATGCAGCGTGACCCAAACTGTCCCTGACCTCTGACGCACCCAAATCAAAAACGATTCAGTCAGAAAGCTGTGGAGTCATCTTAAAGCTGTTCTGATGGGAATCATCTTCTCAAGATTCGAGCTCTACACCTTGTTGAAAAACGAACAGGCACATTGCGTTGCACAAGCCACCGCGCATGTAAAGTGATCTCTCTCTCCTACAATGCTTCCCCTCTAGTAATTAACCAAGCAAGATCCCTTGATGCTGTGTAAGAGGATTTTCTCAGTGATGAAGAATCCAAAACAGAGCAAGCAGATGCTTCGGATCTTCCTCTCAAGGATGACTAAGGTCTGGAGTTTCAGCATGCTAATGACCTAGATAAACTTTTGACATCAAAATAGAAGAAAATACTCTTTTGGTGACAACTTTAAAAGGAAAAAGTTCTTAAAAGGAGTAAATCTTTATTCACGTCTATAAAAGGGTTTTTTTAAATGTCAGGATTACAATATTATAGTTAGCTGAAGTAAAGAACAATAAAAGGCCTTTAGGCTAGGTAAACAAGTGTACAGACGTACATGTGAGAGTTTGTAAGTGAGAGGAAGTTCAAAGCCATACGTAAATGTGTTTATCCATGTGGTTT